GAGGCATGCCTAATCGTGTTTAGAAGGACCCCAAACCATAGATTCCCCAGATACTTCCCCGCAGCAGCAAATACAAGCAAGCATTTCACGGGCTCCTTATACTGGCCTGCTCCATTAGTCAAAAGTCGGCCAGCTTTCTCCTAGAAGTGCCACGAGCCACACGCTGAAAACTGAATTGGCGATTACAAGGGGTAACGCAACCCTATAGGTTGGTTGATATGGGTAAAGCACCTCCTGCATTCGAACAAGTAGGATTATTGCGCTAAAAACTGAACATATTTGTGGCACTTTGCCCGCCACTATGGTGAGGAAACAATCTGTGAAACCGAAACCCCATAGCGCTAACCGTATCGGCTTTCGTGTTCGCCCCCACAATAGTCTCATTGGCTAGCCGTTGCTGTGATACGGTAAAATGTGGTAGAGAGATGGAGTCAACCAATGAGATCTTGTAGGGGAGCGCAAACTCCGCCCATAGGATTTGCGACCAACGTGATTCAAGAGCTTTGAAGGTCTTTTTCCGGTTTCCTTATCACTATTGACCATCACCACAACTACTCTTATGCAACAATGTTAAACTATTCAATCGTAAAGTGTGCCTTTGAGGCTGCAGCTTTGGTAGGATTGAAGATTGTGGCAGTAGTCGGTTTGCTGCAAGGGGTCGTTATGACTCAGCCATCCGGTCAGGACTTATCATGAGGTTAGAATTTGCCCTGCCCAAGAAGATGTCAACAACCCAAATGTGGTTGAGAAGAGCTTCGCTACAGTAATCCAAATGAACTTTTTGAATGGCCACAGCGTTCTTTGGCCATCGCAGTTCGACCTTCTATGCAACCCGATTCGCTCATTTTGTTGCCTCTGCGCCCCCGCACACGGTCGGAAGTCTATGTTTGAGTAAATACTGCAATGGTTGCTTGCGATCCCCTGCTTCGGCACCGCCACACGTTTACGCAGTGTATTTGCGTTCACAAAGGCATGTGGTGGTACGTGTGTGCTGCCAGCCACGAATTAACCCCCTAAGCACTTGGGCAAGCGATTACGCGGCGACGTTTTCAACCGCTGTCCCGTTGCTGCCCCCGGAATCCAGCCTGAACTCGGTGCTCTGTTGTTCTCAGAGGACACCATCATTGAAGAGGTTACTCTACAGCTACTACTGCAGATCGCCAGTGGTTTCCAGCGCATTTTTAGGGTATCATCCAGTTAAGGGGGGAGAGGGAGGAGCATGTGGTGCGACAATTCATAACATAATCGCCCAGCAAAAAATCCATTGTTTACTTCGAAGAAGCTCAGAGAGGTGTAAAGCTAGAGCGAATTCATTACCTAACCTTCGAAGATTCCTTCCGCAATGCAAAAGTGATTTTCTTGTAGAATGGCAAGTGGCTGATCACCATCACATTCCTCCCCCTCCCCCGCCTATTGGATCAAACCCCATTTTTAACAGAATACAGCACGAGAACTGAAATTATCTGAGCTTTACCTGGTAAGGGGTAAGACAGTGTCTTCTGTGGCTTAAAGCTTCAGGTTAATCCGACCAGGCCAAAAACGGATGCGGAGCGCAAAAAAAGAATGGCCGACAAGGATTCGGCGAAATTTTCATGATAATTTGACTGATTAACAGATATATGACCATCCCAAAAATTACCAGTACATAACTAAAAGAAAAGAAAAATAGCTAAACCGGGTCTATTCCGATGAAGGGCAAAAATAGTGTAAAACGTGGAACGTTCGCCAGTACGCCCCATTTTTGCAGGGAAGGATTATCGGATAGATACCAGCCCAAAACTTACCAGTATATAATTTCAAGAAAACAGTAATAGCCGAACCATATACCATACCATACCAGGTCTATTCCGATAAGGAGCATATAATGGAGCACCCTAGATCCTTACGGTAATCCCAAATTTTCGCGGGGGAAGGGAGATATAGGATGATAAAAGAATAAGCGAAATGTTCACGCACTCTGAGATTACCGGATACCCGACAGAGCCCGTCGCGTGGCGAGAAGGCAGAGACGCAGACGGGTCAGTGGACGAGTCGCAGCGCGTGCTGTGTGATGTGGGACGTACTATAGTACATTCTATTTAACTTGACGCGAAATCACTGCAGTACGCGCTGCGACTCGTCCGCTGACCCGTCTGCGTCTCTGCCTTCTCGCCGGGCGTTGTGCCGAGTACCCGGGATTTTCTCTCCCGGCAAAAATCGGAACTGTCGTTGGCAACCTCCGCACCATATGCCCCTTGTTGGTATAGACTCGCAAATCATATAAAAGTCGTATGTGGGTGGAATTTCCCACCCTTTTGATAAAATACGGTCTTCAGAAGAGAACACAGCAGACTCGCGATGTTACAGTGCAAGTGCAATGGGGGAGGAGTGCATCGATTCCACACATACTTTTCCGCGCGCGCGCGACTTGCGCGATGGGAGGTCGCGTCAGTGTTATTGATCGATGTCCACCTTTTATCGATCGATCCTGCCACAGCCTCTCTTTCGCGCGTTGCGTGCGCTTTGCATAATATGTCTGGAACCTTTGTGGGACATTCCTTGCCTTTGAAATATCTGTCTATCGGTGCAGGGACCTTTGATGCAGGGCTGAGCGCTGGTGTTCGATGTGGTGGACGCTCGTCTGTGCCACTTCTCTGTGGGGAGGAGAAGCCGGGTCCGTTCCATTGTGTTCCATAGCGTGTCATCGAATCTGCGTTGGAAAGACTGATAAAGCAGTAATGGACACAATTTTCCAGAAAGAAGGGGGAGGGCTCTCCACAAAGGGGCGGAGCTTTCCACGGAAGAACGTTCTTCACTCCTGACAGCCCCTGCTTCGCATTTGTCATTTATCTCTCCGCAGAACTGTCATTGTCGTCAAGAAATTATCCTATCGAGTAATAATTCAGAAAGAGAAAATGATTTATCCTATGGATCAATCGATATAGTATTCGGTTTCTTCGACCCGTATAAAAGTGAGTTTTTCTTCGGCAAGGTGCCATATCAAACCGCACCAGCCGGGCTTTTCAACGTGCATTTGATTCTGTTGTTGATCACCTGTTCTATTCCGTTCATACTTGGCGTATTTGTCGTACGTCTGCAGCGGTGACTCGGCACGCAAAGGCGACACACTACGACTACGATCCGGTATTTGTAGTTTACGTTTTTGATGTGCAAGACCTGAAATTGCCTACCAATGATCAGGGGAATTGTACCGCTTGAATTTTTCGCCTGCTCTCCGCTTACCGTAGCCAGCAGTGCGATGTGGCACTGGTTCACGTGGACTTGGTGGCACTTCATCGTCCAACACAACAGCCACAGGGCGTCTTGAATGTCGCCACCGGTTTCTTTTCCGGTACTGAAAAGTTGTCATTCGTCTCGTCCTGCAGACATTTTAGTCGAATTCGACCGACTGAATTTGAGGGATTAGCACTTCATTTTGTCACGCCCTTTCATAAGCAGCTCAATCGTAGGGGTGTGTCAGGAGATCCAGGTAGTCTTCATCCCAAAAAAAAGGATTGATGCTGCGAATGCTTTTTTATGCTTTATATTGGAAAAC